CATCTGACTCTTGATCTCAGCTCAGGTCTTGATCTTAGGGTCCTGAATTCAAGCCCCCACATTGGGGGCTTTATGCTAGGCATAAAGCCTATTTAAAAAAGAAATTTTTTTTTTAGTTCGTCTTGTTATTATTGGATTGTAAGATTATATAGTCTAGAAATTAGACACTGATCAGAAATATGTTTTCAAATATTTTCTCAGTCTATGGACTATTTTTTCACTTTCTTAATTGTGTCCTTTGACATAAGAGCTTTTAATTTTGATGTAGTAAAACATGAGTTTTGAGATGTTATTCAAGTTTAGTTTGCAAAACAATGTTTAAAAGTGAGCACCTTGTTTCCTTAAGCACGTACACACACACAAACCACAGCAATGCCATAAAACTGTTCATCTTTGTTCAGGGGTGGGTTAGGGTTCAGGCATATCGTATCAGAAATCTGGCAAGCTAAACTACCACTGAAGAGGCCAAAAGGAGATACATGACTTGTCTAAGGACACATGGTTGATGGGTGATAAACCCAAGGCTTGAATCTAGGTTTTCCAACCTCAAAACAGGTGGTCTTTCCACTACTGCAGTATTTAGCACAGGGCCGGCTCCAGTAAGAGAGGCAAGAGCACTGGATTAAAAACTGGGAAACCAGATTCTGGAACTGTAACTAACTCAATGTCTCATCTTGAACAAGTTGCTTCGTCTTCCCCTCTTCAACTGTGTACATGTCTATAAAATGAGGAGGCTGGAACAGATGAATTTCAAAATCTCATTATAAACATTTTAGAGAAACCACTATTGATTAAGCAGAACAGTTATAAACCAAGCAAAAATAAACAAAAAACTCTTAATATATTAGAACCAGAAGGGATTTTAAAAAGTAATCTAAGATAATTCTCAACCTGGAAGTAACTGTTAAAATGTAGAGGAAAGAAATAAATAAATAGCTATGTGTAAAAACATACAGATGTCCAGGTCCCACCTCCAGAGAATCTGATTCAGGTCTGGGATGAGGTCCAGAAATCTGTATTTTTAACTAAAACCCCAACGGAGTCTGGTATCTTTATATGATGTCAGGAAAAAATATGTTATCTAAGGAAGCTGAAGACCAGAGTAACCGGCTAGTTAGTAGTAGCTACATATATTTTTTGTTAAGTGCTTACTATGTGCTACTCATAGTGCTAGACACATTTTAAAGTAAATATTATTATTCCCACTTATAGATGAGGAAATCGAGATACGAAAAATTTATTAAATTGTCTAAGAATACATATCTGCTAAGTGGCATAGCCAGGATTCAAAGCCAAGCAGATAGGCTGGCTCCAGAGCCTGTGTCCTCAACTATTAAAATATAAAACCTCTGTTTTACCGTCAGGATGACAGTCCAGCCAGGAGACAGAAATGAAGTTAAACAGGTATGAAGTTAAAAGGGTCTGAATACAGCTTCTAAAAACACAGTTTAACACTGCATTTTCATAGCCAAACAATTTTAGTAGCCTAAACAAATCGAGCCAGGAGACAGAAATCCATGTATAAGGTTAAAAAGACTTGGATATAGTTCTGGAAAGCATGGTTTAATACCACCTGTCAATTATAATAGCTAAAACAATTAAGCAAGCAATTTTCTTTACAGCCTGCTAGGTAAAAGAAAATGCTTTGAGGTATTCTGGGCAAAATAACTTACTGCAATGATCTAAGTTATTCTGTGACGGAGGTTAGAAGATTGCATTTGCATACCTATTTTTAAGATCAGGAAACTAGAACTGCTTTGTTCTCAAAGTCAGTTTCATAGGAGCAGAAATTCACATCTGCTTAGGGAAAGCTAGAAGCACAGTGAAGCACATTTACATCTTTTTATTACATTTCTTCATGGCAAGTGAAATTACAGCTGCAGGAAACAAAGACCCCCCAAAAAATCAAGACAAATAAAATTAAAGAGATTATAAGGTAACAGGCTCTCAGTCCTGCAGAGCAAAAAAGCTTCTCTATTCATTCAGATCCTGTTCCCCTGAGAATAATTTTTCTCCATCTTCTCTTCTACCATACCTTCCTTCAGTTTTCAGACAATTAAAGGCATCATTCTCTAAGGCAATTTCTGAAGACTGAGGAGGCAGATCTGAGGGGTTTTTTGTCTGCTAAATTTAATGAAGCAAGTACTTATTCTGTGTTGGTTGTCTCAGAGAACTATAAGGACCTTTCAGGGGAAATTGGACAAATACAAATTGGTAGGAAAATATAAGACAGTATGTCATATTAAGTGACAGCTTAATTCCCATGTGCAATAAATGCTAGAGAATTCAGAAGAGGAACAACTTGATGTAAAGCTGAAACGAAATTTCCCGAGAAAAATCACCTAACAAGATCTTATTTTTTATCCTCTATGACCCTCACTTCTTGATTAACTCTGTCAACTGTTCTTTTTTAAGGCCTTTTATCTATTGCTGCTATTCAAGTTAGGGTTCTCATGGCCCGGTCATTCTATTTTTATAGCTGTTCACAAAGAATGCTTACTCGATACTGTAAAATATTTACAACAAGCCCACAATACATACGGGAACCCACATTATTTATATAAGGAAATTTAAGTTCAGTAATATCATGTAACCTATCCAAGGCCATGTGGATTTTAACAAGCTATATTAGAATTCAAACTTGTCTTTCTTTTTATAATAAATACTACACACTAGTATGGTATAAGGCCTTATTCGAAAGCTTTTAATTTCTACCTCTCCAAACTAATTTTCTGAAAACCACTTTATACAGCCTCAACAGCTTCCTACTCCAAGCAATCCATGCCCTCTTCAATCTGATTCTACTGTCATGTCACTACAGGTCTCTTACAGAGCAATCCAGTCAACTCAGTACCTGAAACATCAAGCACCATCTGCTCAAGGACATTCTCACCTAGTATGCCATCCTTCTCTCCCAAAGTAAGGTCCCAGGTCCACCCTCAGACGTGAGGTCTTTCCCTGGGCCCTCACCTCCTTATCAATTAGTTCTGAGGAATCATTCTCTTTCTCATTTCTATTTCTGTAAAAAGCACACATCTGAATACACCAAATACTTTTAATATTTGGGGTACCTCTTCCTATAGTCAGCTATACTGAGTATTTTCGGACTGTAGGATTCTTGATTTTTTTCCTCTGCCATTGCGCAGGTGTATGCAACATGTGTTAAAGAGATCATTCATGTATATGACCCCATTTGGTTCTCCCCAAAACCAAACGATTTCAGATGGAAGGTAAGCTTAACTGACTTGCCAGTCTTCATACAGTTTAAAAGTAGCAAACCCTGCATCTTATGATCCTCAGATCCAAGTTCTTTCAATAATGTAATGATACCATATACTCTTCAGTAAAAAATGCCCCCGATAAATGTTTGCTGGTAATGATCCAGAGAGAACAGCAAGAACAGTCAACGGGACAGGATGAGCAAAGGCTGTGAGATGCTCACCAGCAGAAAGGCAGGGTTTATGTATGAAAATAAACATCAATTCCCAAAACTCTCACATGTCTTGGAGCAACTTAACCATTCCAATCCCCAGAACTCGTTCCTCTTAAAAATGGTTAAAGAGTGTGAGAACCATATGATTCAAAACCAGTGACACCTGAAAACAGAAGCACAAAGACCTGGATCTGAACCCCTCAATATGATCACATATTTGTTTCTTAGGCCCTATCATGCATTAGGCACAAGAGTGTCTGAAAGCTGCTTTCCATTACAGCAAAAAATCCTACTTACTATATTAATGGTCCCATGCTTAACATTTCTCATGAAACTGTCCCAGGGCCCTACAATGAGAGAACTGGAAGGGACTAAGTGTACTTTAGGCTAAGCCCCTCATTTACAGATGAGCCTACAGACACAGGGAGAACAAGCATATTTCAAGGTCACACAGCTAATTAGAGGCAGAACCAGTACTAGGACCTACATCTCCATGCAACTGTTTCTTTCAAGATCCTCTGCAAAGGCAAGAAGGGGCAACCGAGGAGCATGGTTTTCCCTTTTTTCTTTTCCTTTAAGCCCTGTTACTAGGGCCACAGTTTAAAAAAAAAAAAAATGAATGGGCAGAGAGGGAAACAGGGTACCTAGAGCAGGCAGCAAGCTCAGAATCCGATTCACTTACTGCACTTGGTTGCAGGCAGAGGAGTAAAATGAGGGGGGAGGGAGGAGGGTGAAGAAGGAGAAAGAAAAAAAGAAATCTTAAGAGGGTTCCTGTCAGCTCAGTAAGGTAAGTAAATACTCAAGTAAATTCAGTATTCGGACTCGTGATAAAACGCCTGGAAACTTCCATAAGCAAAAGGTCAAAGAACACTTAGAATCTGTAGCAGCACCCACTGTGGTGGTCGTGGTGGCGAGTTTGGGGACTGCTGACTTCGAATAGCTGCGTTCATGCCTTCGGGCTTGGGCTTGTTTTCCCCGTCAGTGAAATGGGCACATCAACTGTGGCCCCAAGCACCTCCGAGGAAAAGTGTCGGCTGCATTGAAATTGGGAATAAATTATCCTAAGTGTGGTGACTACAGTTAAGGACCATACACACTACCAAGAAAAAAAGAAGGCCTGAAGAGGAGAGAGCTGGGGTGCGAGATATGGAGACACCCGCCTACAAGCGCCGGTAGGGTTCCGAAGGTGGGCCAGATGAGGACTACCCGCTGAGAAGCCACAGAAGAAAAGGGGGGCGGGGATGGGAAGGTGGGCTCGCCGCCTCCCGGGCCTCCCAAGTTCTCTTCCGTCCCCAAGAACCGGCTCCTCACCTTGTCCAACAAGCCACTGCGGCCACTGCCTGTCCCGCAGTTGGGACCACCGCCGACCCCACTACTGCCTCCGCCGCCACCACTCCTCCCGCCCTGTGCAGACGCCGCCGCCATCTTGTCTGCCTCTGTGTCTCCCTCCTTCCTACTTGTCCGAAGCCAATTGGCTGAAGCTGACGGCGTGACGCGCCGCCCAGAGTCCGTCGGGATCCGTAGTCCGGGGTTGGATGACGCGAAGGGCCAGCGGAAGTGGCCGCGGGGCTTGCCGGGACTTATAGTAGTTAGAAGCTGAGTTCACCGGTTGCCGCCTACACGGTCTGCCGCCGCGCCGCGGTTACCAAGGGGTACAGAAGGTTGTGGTAGGCGCCACAGTGGAGCGGCTCCGAGGTCCCCGGGAGTCTCGCAGGCGCGCCTCCCGCGTTGCCGGGACGCAGCCCCTGCAGACGCCTCGGAGACGGAAGCGACGACGGAGGCAGGTGAGGCTGGAAACTTAGTTTGCGTGAGGGATTAGAGTATCCTTTGCCCTAGAAGAGTTTGCAAAGGGGCGACAAGAGCTCGTTCTTCATCCTTTTACAGCACTTACCGGTTATTCTCTCCGGTGACTGTCAACTAAGATGTTAGTAGTGTTTTCGTGTTCTAGAGAACTCACATTTGCTGAGCGTCTACCTCTGGAAGCTGTGCACCGTGGGTGTTTATAGTCATCCTTTCAGGTAGTCCCTTAACAGCCCAGTCAGATGAGGTAACTAAGAAACTTACCCAAGGCCGAACAGCATGTCTCGGGACCTCGTTTAGAAGCCAGGGGGTTTTAGCCCCCTAGTATGTTCCCTTTGCCACTCTGCTTTTAATCGTTTTAGAATGTAATAGTATTCTAGATTCTTATTAATTCATTTTTTCCTTTTTTTTTTTTTTTTTTTTTTTGAGAGAGAGAGAGAGAGAGAGAACCCTGGGGAGGGGGGTGAGGGGAAGAGAAGAGGGAAAGGGAGAGAAATCTTAAGCAGGCTCCATACCCAGAGCAGAACCCGACTGGGGCCTCCCTCTCACACGGGACTTGAACTCAGGGGGCGTGATCTCACCACCCTGAGATCATGACCTGAGCTAAAATCAAGAGTCAACTGCTCAACCAACTGAGCCACTCAGGCACCCCTTTTCCATAGTATTTATTGAGCACCAACCAACATTGCTCCGAAGTGTACTGAGGGATACTGGAAGATCAAAGCAGACCTGTTCACTACTCTTTTGGAACATCTACTCTAGTGACCTAGAGTTGCCACGTAACGGGATTATATTATACTATGATTGTATTATACTATGATTTCTTATATTGCATCACTTGTTGGTTTGTTTTTTTTAATCACCTCCTAAGTGTCAAAATGTTGAACAAATACTTATTGAGTGCTACTATATAGCAGTCGCTGTTCTGGTCACTGGGGATATATTCCTAAATAATGTAAAATATAGGCAAAATACGTCTTGGTGAAGCTACCATCCATGGGATAATAATTATCAGTAACTACTGTTAGTTGGGATTTCTTCACTTCTGTGAAGCAATCCAGTCAGATGCTCCTATAGCTTTTTGCTGTTTATCTTCTGTACTATCCTTCTCATTTTTCAAGACCCAGCTCTTAATGTCACCTGCTCTGTGAAACCTTTCCTGATCCTTATTTTTTCCTTCTTTGCAGACAGACTGAAGAACTCCATAGCATTGTGTTTATGGTTCAGTTTAGTTCAGTAAACACTCATTGAACCTCTTCAATGGGCCAGACCCTGTATTGAAGTGCTGGGGATAAAGATATAGGTAGGCCTGGCCTTTGAGGGGCTCACAGTCTGGGATTGGGGGTTTGAGGAGTGGGGAACAGACAGGTAAGCAGGCCATTGTACTACAGCGTGTGGTGGAGTGTTTCCATTAAGAGGTGAGCTAAGATGGTAGCACAAAGAAAGGTCAACCTGAGGAGGGGAAGATAGAGGAAAGCTGTCTGTATAAGCCAGGCAAAGAAGAGGGGCAGAATCCAAAGAAATGGAGCAGCACATATATGCAAATGAGCAGACATTTCTCTCTGTCAAACAAATAAAATCTTAAAAAAAAAAAATTAAAAAAAAAAAAAGTTTGAGATAGAGACCTGAGGTAGCTGATGCTAACTAGGCAGGCAGCCTCTGAGTCTGGAACTTGGACTTTCTCTTTTCCACCATCCAGGTAAAGTTCATATTTTCCTTAGGGTTACTTTCTAGATAATGTAACATCAGGATTATGTGCCCTTCCTAGCCCATTAGTTGTATAGCCACACCTTCTCACCTGGTGTTCTTTGGGAACTGGAAGTTACCAGTGGATTAGTTATGTTCAGATCTGTATGCCCTTCCCAAGTCTGAGTCTGATTGAGCCTTATATATGTATAGCAAATATCTTTTCCCAGATTGTGTCTTATCTTTAAACTCTGTCTTTGCTGTTTTTATCATTCATAGATTTATTTTGTATTAATGATTATATAAAATATCCTTCCTTCCTGATTTGTGATTTGTACATCTTATTTAAGCACTCTAGCCCCACCCCATCATCACAAAATTACCCCCTTGTTCTACCTTCCTCCCATCCATGTTCCTGTCTCTGTCTCTACATTTCTAGTTATCTATTTCTGGGATCTTTAGTTTTGTGGGGTTTTTTTAGGCCCCAGCTGAGACAAATTTTAGAGGCAAGGGTCACAATAGGATGTAATAAGAAAGTTCAAGAGCTCTGAATGACGGGCTAAGAAGGATTGTAATATCTGTTTTACAGGTGAAGAAACACAAAAAAAAGCAAGTCAAGGGGTCTTTCCCAAGGTCAAAGATCAAGTAAGTACTATGCAGATCAGAAGCAAGGTCCTCATAGTCTGTAAGTTATTTCTCCCAACAGCCACCATCTCTAACATTTCCCAGCCAGCAATTTACTCATTCATTCATTCACCTGTGTAGCAGATAGTTGTGGTTGGTCAAAAGATAGGTTTCCTGAAAGACATTAACTGAGTGACTGTTGATCTTTCCCCATCCATCCATCCGTCTGTTCATTCATCTTCTTTACACATTTTTAGTGAATTCTAGGTTCAATGCTAGGCTCTGGAATTACATAGGTGAACAAGATATCATAGGACCTATGGCAGGTGAGAAGTTGACTAAGGGGAACAATTACCATAAAGTGATAAGCACTATACTAGGAGAAGTACAGGGTATTGTGGGAACACACCAGAAGGGCATTAACCCTTCTTGGGATGGTAACAGATTAGGAAATTCATAGTGCTCTGTGTTGAACCAAAGGAGATACCAACATCATTCATTTATTCCACAGATAATTGTGCATCTGTTATGTGCTAGGTGCTGTGTTAGGTATTGTGAATAAAGAAATGAACACCATAGCGCAGCATAGCAAAGCATAGGTGCTCTCTCTCCTTTAAAGGAGTTTAGAGATTCGTTAGGGAGATCAGAAATATACCCTTGGGCCCTGGGAATACATCATATCCTTCATTTGGCTCACACATGTTTAAGGGTTATTGCCTATGAGCATTCCAGAGGTGGGAGAGAGATGGTGAATTGGATGTGTTTCCAGACTTGGAGGTTCACAGACCATTGAAGGAACCCCTTCATGATTATTAGTAATCTTATGAAGTAGAAAGGACTCCAGCCATGAAAGAGAGAAGAAATACTCTGGTATTTAGCCAAAGTAGCAGTTATTTCCCTCTGGAAGTTTCAGTGAAAGCATTGAAGAGAGGGTGGCATCTGGATTTTTTTAAAATATTTTATTTATTTATTTGAGAGAGAGAGAGAGGGAGAGAGCGCAGCGGGGGAGTGCAGCGGGGTGGGGGCAGGCAGAGGGAGAAGGAGAAGCAGACTCTTGAACCCAGGACTCCAGGATCATGACCTAAGTTGAAGGCAGACACTTAACTGACTGAGCCAACCGGGCACCTCCTGGCTGGATCTCTTTATTTTATTTTATTTATTTATTTTTATTTATTTGACAGACAAAGATCACAAGTAGGCAGAGAGGCAGGCAGAGAGAGAGGAGGAAGCATGCTCCCTGTGAGCGGAGAGCCTGATGCGGGGCTCAATTCCAAGATCCCGGGATCATGACCTGAGCCGAAGGCAGAGGCTTTAACCCACTGAGACACCCAGGCGCCCCTGGCTGGATCTCTTTAAAGAAAAATCTCAAATCCCTAAGAGCTAAAGTTTTAAGAAATTTAGATCTTTGATTTATTCCTAACAGCAGTAGCATTTGAACTGAAAAAAAAAAATTTTTTTTTAAAGAGAGGGAGAAGGTGGGAGGAGGGGCAGAGAGAGTCTTTTTTTTTTTTTTTTAAGATTTTATTTATTTATTTGACAGAGAGAGATCACAAGTAGGCAGAGAGGCAGGCAGAGAGAGGGGGAAGCAGGCTCCCTGCTGAGTGGAGAGCCCAATGCGGGGCTCAATCCCAGAACCCTGAGATCATGACCTGAGCTGAAGGCAGAGGCTTTAACCCGCTGAGCCACCCAGGCGCCCCGGGAAAAAGAGAGTCTTAAGTAGGTTCCATGCCCACTTGGAGCCCAGTGCAGGGCTCTGTCTCACAACCTGAGATCATGACCTGAGCCAAAATCAAAGAGTTGGATGCTTAACCAACTGATCTACCCAGGTGCCCCAGAACTGAATCTTAAAGCATGAAATTAACCAGGTGGTGATGGAGAAAACTATTTTAGGCCAAAGGAACAAAGGCAGGGAAGACTGAATATGTTTGGAGACTAGAAAATGATTGTGTGCGACTGATGGGCAGGGCTGACTAGAGCTAGAAAAGTTAGAACGTGGGACTCCAAGGGCTTCAAGAGTAATCTCAGGTTTGCTCAGTGGGAATCTGATCAGAAGACTGTTGCAGTATTCTAGGTGGGAGATGGTAAAAGATTTAATGGAAACAGTGAGAGAGAAAATTACATTGGAACAGTTTTCCTGAGCAGGAATTTTCTTGACTCAGTGACCAGTTGATGAAATCCCATTTCACCTAGCATTACTTTTGTCAGACCTCTCTTTCTAAAACACAGCTGGGGTCATGGCTCTCACCAACTCAGATATAGTTCATGGCTCTCAGTTACCTACAAGGGGAAGACTGAGCTCCTGGCTGGCACTGAAAGCCTTCAAGAGCAGGCACCATCCTTTATGTCCCAAGTTATAGTCCCAAACACAGATCCTTCTCCTTTCTGGATCTGGTTGTCTCTTTATTGCGCCAGATGTGCCCCTACTATGCCCTTAGTCCTGTGGCCCTTTTAGTTTGGAATGCTTATCCTTTTCTCTATTAGCAAACTCAGTTCATCTCTCAAATTCTATTTATGCAGTTCTAATATTATTTTCACAACATCTTGCCTAAAACGTGAGTCCCCTCTTCCCTGAAGTCTGTTAAAACAATGAACATTTCTAGTGAGCACTTAATACGTACTAGGCACTAGCTTTCTAACTTGATCCTCTCATCTGTCTATTAAGGTAGGTGTTATTAATCCTGATTTGCAGGTGAGGAAACTGAGGTTCAGAGGGGTAGAGGAACATTACCAGTCGTAGAGTGAGGAGAGACAGTCAAAATTCAAATCAGTTCTATCTGGATCCAAAGGTATTCTGTATAGTGTTCCACTGAGTTAGGGTTGATTTGAACCAAAAAACCCAGGGCCTTGATCTCCCTCTTTGTTCAAAGGGCCAGCCCATTCTGAAACGGGGAGGGCCTCCTAGGCCCCAGAGACAGGGTGGATGTAGGGTATGGTGGTACTGGTGGGCTCACAAGCCACATTGGGTGAGAGACCTATGCTGCCCCTTCTCAGTGCTTCTACTTCCTCACTTTCCTTGCTTGACTCTCAGGGAGATGGCCTCTTCAGGAATATACAAGCTGGATAATGGGAAGTCTTACCTGAACAACTGCTTTCCAGCCAAAAATCTCCTTCGGATGCCAGACGAAGGTCAGGTGACTTCTCAAATTGATACCTTTGCTTCACACTCAGCTCCTACATCCATTTTTTTCCTCTCCAGCCCATTTATTACTGGTTTGCACTACCCAACCCCATCCCTTCCCATCCATATTCCCTCAGCAGTCTCAGGGAGCTTTCGAAAGTGCATGTTGAACCACAGTGTTCCATTCTGTTCTGTGACTTCTCATTGCTGACTTCTTTACGTGATATTTTGTGTCCACAGTCTGACTTCCATTTATCTTTTGCTACACCCCCATTCCTTTACATATGCCCTGTTCCATTATACTCTCTTTTCACATAGCTTGTTTTATTTGCCAGAATATTACAGCTATCACTCCAGTTATCCAAACTCTTTCCATCCCACAAAGCCCAGCTCTTTTTCCAATAAGCCCTATCTAACTACTCCAGCCCTTAGTGACCATACTCTCTTGTGAGCTGTCTTCCTCTCTGTGTTTATTAGTTGTTGAAGAATCATATTCTGCCAGCCTCCTAAATAAAATGACTCTGCTAAGTAGTTTTTCAAACATTCATCTAGTTAAAAGCTCCCATGGGGCAGGGACTCCTCATAACTCTGAGTGGAGCCATACAGATAGAACACTGCTGAGAAGTATGAGTTCACTGGATTGGATTTGTTGATTTGAAAGGGTAGAATAAGAGGGAAGTACCCCTTGTTTACTCTAGATGAAATGGCTTGCTGGTTACTCTGTATGTGGAATATTGAAAGAACTTTCTCCTCCATCCGTTCTCCCCACTTCTCTAGAGCGATTTCTTTTTTTTTTTTCGTGTAGAGACCTCTGGCCACCTACCTGTTTTAAACCCTCCCATGGAGCTCTCAGTATGAACTCATGATTTCATCCCCACACACCAATACACATATACATGGACAACAGAGAAATAAATGCAGCCAGGTTCATGTGTTAGTACAGATATGTATATTTCCTAGTCCACTGAGAGCAATGACACCTCACTCACAAAGAGCATACTTGGGCCCTAGATCTCGGTTTCTGGATATGATTCTCCAATAAAAAGAGCCAGGACTTCTCAGAAAAAAAGTTGTTTCCAGGGCTGGGGCCAGAAATACAAATTGCATCTAGAATGTCCTATAGTGATAGGAAGTACAAAAGTGCTCAGAAAAATGATGAGCGCATATCAGAAGTACATAAGGGCTAACCTGAAGGAGCTCCCAAAGGCCAAAGCTGGAACCTAAACAACAAAAAAATTAAAGTAGAATTGGGTTGTAAACTATACAATAAATATCTATGAGCCCATACGGATACAAATAAATATTTGAATATATAAAATAGTGTAGGCAAAGGAGCAACTCTTCCTACAGTAGAAGTTCAGTTAATAAATGTAGAAGGAATGAAGGAAATAGAGAATCACTGCTAAAGCATCACAATAATAATTTTTACAGGTAAGAAGTTTCTATAGATGTTGTATCAGGATTCCCCAGCAAAATAAAACCAATAGGATATGTATTTATATCCTCCCCGTTCTGTTTCCATAGTCATATGTGTGTATTATCTGTTTTAAGGAATTGACCTATGAAATGATGGGGGCTGGCAAGACTGAAATCTGTAGGGCAAGCAGGCTAAAAACTCAGGAGAGAAGAGCTGATGCTGTGGTCTTAAAGCAAAATTTTTTCCTCCTTTGGGAAGCATCAGTTTTTGCTTTTAAGTTTTTTCAGCTGATTGTGTGAGGCCCATACACATAATAGGGGATAGTCTCCTTTACCTAGAATCAACTGATTACAGGGGAGTGGGGTTATGGACATTGGGGAGGGTATGTGCTATGGTGAGTGCTGTGAAGTGTGTAAACCTGGCAATTCACAGACCTGTACCCCTGGGGATAAAAATATATGTTTATAAAAAATTAAAAAAAAAATCAACTGATTACAGATGTTAGCCACATCCATAAAATACCTGCACAGCAACACCTAGATCAGTATCTGAGTAACTCCTTACCACAGCCTAGCCAAGTTGACACCTAAAATTAACCATCATAGATGCTAGAATTAGTGTGTCAAAGTATGATGAAAATCAGATTGTTAGCGTAGTCTCAAGGTATCTTTATCAATTACAAAGAGAAAAATCATGACTTCTCTGTAGGGAAAGTAGGCTGACACCACCTTAACCAAGTGATCAAAATTAGCATCACCAGTCATCAGACATATTGACATCACCTGCTGTCTGATTGGATGCACCGAGAAGGGCACCACAGACTTTTGTGGTAGTTTTGGCAAAGCACAGAGCCTTATTCTAATTATGGGAAAGCATCAAACAAAATTCAAATTGAGGGACTTTCAATAAAATAATTGACCAGTACTCTTCAAAAGTGCTAAGATCACACAAGAAAAAAAGACTAAAGAGCTGTCACCGATTGGCGGATTCTAAGAAGACATGATAACTAAAATGTGAGATTCCCTTGGAACAGAAAGGAGACATTAGTGAGAAAACTAGCAAAATTTAAAGAAGGGCTGTGGATTAGTTACTGATATTGTACCAGTGTTAACCTCCTGCCTTCAATCATTATATTATGATTACATAAGATATTAATATTAGGAGAGGGAGGTAGGGGGATGAGGTAACTGGGTGATACACTATATGTTAATAAATAGAATTTAAATTTAACAAATTTTATAACAAAAATGTTAGCATTAGGGGAACTGGGTGAAAGCTGTACAGAAATTCAGTGTTATTTTCATAACTTTTATGGAAGTCTTAACTTACCTCAAAATGAAAATTATGGGGGCGGGGGAGAGGATGTTCCCATGGATACTTTTTGTGCTGAAAGCCTCCCCCAATAAACCCAGTACTGTTCTGTGTACTACCCAACCCCATCCCTTCCCATCCATCTTCCCTCAGCAGCCTCACAGAGATTTCTTTCTTTTTTAAAGATTTTTTTTTTTTATTCATTTGATAGAAAGAGATCACAAGCAGACAGAGAGGCAGACAGAGAGAGAGGGAGAATCAGGCTTCCCGCTGAGCAGAGAGCCCATTGTGGGGCTTGATCCCAGGACCCTGAGATTATGACCTCAGCCGAAAGCAGGGGCTTAACCCACTGAGCCACCCAGACGCCCTCTCACGGAGTTTTCTAAAGGGCACATTGAACCACAGTGTTCCATTCTGTTCTGTGACTTCTCATTGCTGGCTTCTTTACATGATATTCTGTGTCCACAGTCTGACCTCCCTTTATCCTTTGCTATACCCCCATTCTTTTATGCATGCCATATTCCATAGTACTCTCTTTTCATATAGCTTGTTTTATTTGCCAGAATATTCAAGCTATCATTCCAGTTATTCAAACTCTTTCCATCGCACAAAGCCCAGCTCTTTTCCTTTCCTTGTTCTGGTCCTCTAAACTTTTTCTGATCTGACTCTGCTGACCTCCCCAGGCTCATCTCTTTTGTCTCTTATTCATCTCTGGACACAGTCTGGGCCTTCCTTGCTCACTTTGTTGGGAGTTTGGTCACCAACTCACACTGGAATCTCTAGGAGTCAGAGCTTTTGGAATGGAACAAAGTTCCATGACCCAATTGGGGGCAACCCTGGAAAGTAGAATCCTGGCCACTCAGCCCCAGAGTGGGAATGGGAAATAACTCATGGCAGACATAGGGATAGGAGTTGCATTCAGGAGTCAGAATTGGCAGCTGTGGTCAGGTGAGCCAGGGCAAGCCCCCAAAGCAGAAGGCTGTGAGGGCAAGGAGCCAGTGATCAGAAGCACTGAGCTGGTTCCTGCAACTCTGTGCTGGTCTGTATTTTTCTGATCTTTTATGTTTCCGGATACTTTGGGGGCCCTTCCTCTGCCCAGGCTGCCTATTTTCTCCATCTCCATCTAGTCGATCTTAAACTTACTGGATCTAGCTCATGACCTGGGCTGGTAGCTCCCCTTTCTGTGCTTTCATAGCACCTCTTCTACTATGCTTCTTTGAGTCAGGGCCTCCATCTTAATTCATCTCCACAGCCCTAGTTCCTAGCACAATGTAGATGCTTAGAAAAGCTCTGTTTGGGCCATTGTGGGTAGGGGCTGTGGCTCAGCATTCATTCAGCTGTTCATTCAGTCATGCTTACAATATGGTAAGCTCTGTGAATATTCTTGGGAATACTGAGCTGGATCAGTCAGACAAAATCTGTCTGGGGGACAAGGCAGACAATAAACAAGTGAACAACAACAACAACAACAACAACAAAAAACAATTACAGATTGCAATGAATGCCTTGGAGTAAATAAACTGATATAAGAGCAAACAGATTCTAGAATGTTGTCATGATTTTTGTTAGGTGAGCTTACTAGTAAACCTCCTATTCTTTTTTGCTTACATAAATTTTCAAGTTCTTTCTACAGTGAACATTATTGGATTTTTTTAAAAAGTTTCAACTGTCCTATCATTTTCTTATCGAGCTCCTGATATAATCTTTACGCTATAGTGATGGGATCCAGGGTAAGGTTTCTCAAGATGGAGCCCATTGAGTTGATGCCACTCATTTAGTTTTACCCAAGAGATGACAAATGGGAGAGTAACAAGCTGGCATAGGAAAGAATAATCAGTTCTGCTTAGGAGAGTCAGAGAAGGCTTTGCAGAATAGGAAATACTTGGTCAGGGGTCTTGAAGGAAAATTAACATTTGGAAACAAAAGCGTGGAGGAGAGAACTGGGCAAGTCATTCTACCTCTTTGAGTCTTAGCCTTTTCATCTGTAAAATGGGGACAGTAACGTGTCCTTCATTGGGGTTTGGGACCAGTTAAATGAGATAGCTATGCAGACATCCCCATCCCCAGCTACCATCACCACTCCCAGCAGCAGCAACAGCAGAACAGTATCTGGTGCATATCAGGTCCTGAGGAGCTAGTTTTGGTTTTGGTATTATAGGTAAATATTCTGTAAGCACACTAGTTGTAGCTTTAGAGGAGTTTGCTTCTCCTCACTGTTCTGATCTTCTCAACAGGCCGAGGACACTGGTTAGTGGCTCGGAAATGTAACCTCAAGAAGAAGCCCAAGAGTGTGCTTGAGGCACCCGCTGAAGTTCAGGAAAGCCAAAAGAAATTTTCTTCTGAGGTCAGGGGAAAGAAAGGGTTTCAACAGGAAAACCAAGCGGACATTGTTGGACATGTGCTGGACCGGGCTTTTCTGGTGAGAGTAAATGTATCCTGGAATGACTGGCAGCATCAGCTGATGACTGTCTTGGTGGGAGACAAGGACTTGCTCTGTTCCACTCTGGTACCATGACCCCCAACCCACCCCAAACTATTAGAGTGATCTTGACTAAATGAGCACAGTCAAATTGATGAAGGGACCCGAAGCTTTCTTTACATTCTTTACATGTTTAGCCTTCTTTACATCCACCTTGTGAGATAGGTATTATTGTCCCTATTATGTTGTGCCATTGTGAAGACGGGAGAACTGAGGCCCCAAAGAGGTAATTTGCCTTGGCCATGGTCTCACAGCTAATAATTAGAACTTTGTCTATTCAGGATTAGAACTACTCAGGATGAGAGCTCTGGTCTACTAACTCCAAAGCCTGTGCCTTTTAGTATATTAGGTAAAAAAACTTTTGATTAAGTTGAAGAGGCAAAAGAGTAGGTCCAGGGAACAGTAAAGTGAAAATTCCATTCCTGCACCTGGTAGGGGTAGAGATTCCTGTTCTCTGGGGAGACTTTTCCAGGAACGGGGGAACTGGAGAGAGTCCACACTCCATAACTTTTGTCCTTTGGTTTTAGTATCTGGCTGAAGTCTGGGGGAGCCAATCAGATAGTACCCACTGTGTGGGGCAGGCTTTATGAAGAAGACTGGGGTGTCTGTATTGGAGACCAGCCAGATAATTTCACATCTGCTCTTTGCAATACCTCAGTGGCTTGGCAAAGAGAGACATATTTTGTAAACCAATATTAATGTCCAGACCAGTTCTCATAGCTCCCTATGACATACTCTCTGGCATCCTGCTTTGTTCCCAGATTCTGCTTATGGTTTCCAAGTGGTCACTTTCTACACAGGTCAGATGTTGAAAGAGAGCTTTGAGAAGACAGCTTTGAGGTTGCAACTCACCTCAAGTGGATAGTGTAAGCTTTTTGCAGAGTCCCATGGTGTGTCCTTTGTTATAATGTCCGCTTCTCACTGGGGATGCAGAGGACTGAAAGCAGTATTGAGGAAGGGCAGAAAACACGTACCATAGTAGTCTTCTTTTCCATTTTGTTTTCTACAACATATACATTCCCACTTTAACGGAGATGGCTATTTACCCATGCTACGGCTTTGTATAGCAGAAGCAACAATGTTGTTTCTTACAGTAATGGGATACCTACTTACCTGCTGGATAGTCCCACTTGAATGTTTCATTGGCACCTCCTATTGAACTACTGCACCAACCCCCTTACTCCAAATCCCAAGACATACCTCTTTTCTAGTGTTTACTATACTGCCTCAGTGATGGTGCTATATCCAGTCACCAAGCCAGTAGTCTGGGGTTATCCTTAACCCTTGCCTCTCCCTCACCACCCCACTACCACCACTAGTAAGTCTGACGCTTTTATTAAATAGTTGTCAAATCTGTATTCTTCTCATCTCAACTGCCTCTATCCTAATCTGGACCACCATCACCTTATAGTAGAGTAATTCAATAACTTCCTGACTAGTCTGAACCAATTAGGATGCTTTTATTTCATATAAAAAGAAGCCAGAGGCATTGTTATTCCAGGTTAGGTTAATTTACTGTTAAAGGCCCTAATGTGCTTAGCATGTTAACTTGTTCTCTTGGGCTAATTGCCTTCACAATCCCAAGATGGCTGCAGCAAATCCAGTAATCATATATAAAGAATAACATCCAGAGGTACAAAAGGGATTTTCATTATTTTATGTCTATATTTAAAATTAAGAAAGAGCTTCTCAGAACTGGCCTCCTACCCCCAGCAGCCAGTGTCTGTCTGATTGGCCAGACCTATAGCATATGTCCTTACAGTCATTAGTTAGAGGATTGTGACCTCCAAGATTGGTGTAGACAGTCAGGACTTATCACTTGGAGCTGGGGCCCAAGGACACATCCACTCAGAAAAATGAAATAATGTTGGGGTTCTCTTTCTCTCTCTTTTTTTTTAAAGATTTATTTATTGCTTAAGAGAGAGGGAGATTGAGAGAATGAATATAAGGAGGGGCAGAGGGAGAAGCAGACTCCCCTCAGAGCAGGGAGGCCAGCATAGGACTTGATCCCAGGACTCTGGATCATGACCTGAGCTGAAGGCAGACACTTAACCAACTGAGCCACCCAGGCACCCAACATTGGGGTTCTTTAATAAGGAAATAGTAGAGAAGTTGCCCTAGGTAAGGTAATTAACAATGCCTAGTGTATTGGTCTCATTCTATGAGTATCAGACAAAGCAATTTCTATAAAATTACTATCAAATCTTGCAAAAAAATAAAAGTCTGTTAGCTTTCCACTGACTATAGAACAAAATCCACACTCCCTTACATAGTCAGGAACCCAGTTGATTTAGTGGCTGCCTCCCTGGACTTGTTCCTTTTCTTCCTCTCAAAAGCACCTGGCTTTTACCTGTCCTGATAGCTTTCACTTCCTGCCACCCACTTTCTTGGGACCAACTCCTACTTAGCTTTTGGTTCTCACTTGAAATAGTACTTCCGGGGCGCCTGGGTGGCTCAGTGGGTTAAAGCCTCTGCCTTTGGCTCAGGTCATGATCCCAGGGTCCTGGGATCGAGCCCCGCATCGGGCTCTCTGCTCAGCAGGGAGCCTGCTTTCTCCTCTCTCTCTGCCTGCCTCTCTGCCTACTTGTGATCTCTGTCTGTCAAATAAATAAATAAAATCTAAAAAAAAAAAAAAAAAAAGAAATAGTACTTCCTCAACTAAATATTTCCTCTCCTCTAGGCTGAGGTCAGAACCTCCTGTATTGTCTCCCATAGCTTCTTGAATTTCTCCTTTAAAATATTTATCATATTTAGGGGTGCCTGGCTGGCTCATTTTATAGAGCTTCTGACTCTTGATCTCGGGGTCATCAGTTCAAGCCCCACATTAGATGTAGAGATTACTTAAAAATAAATAAAAAATAAATATGCAAAAAATATTTTTCACATTTATAAATGCTTTCTTGCTACTTGGCTTCTATGTTGTGAGTTCTGTGACTAGAATATTATTATTATTATTTTTTTAGACAGATTGGACTCTGTGACTAGAATATTATAAACATCTAATTCCATGCCTAAACATGATACTATAGATAAATGATTAACAGGAAAAAAAATGAGGCTTGGTTAAACAGAAATAGAAACTCCAACACTGAGATTTTCCTCTAACTTTTAACTTAAGGGGGCAACATATAGTAGTCAGAAAAGCAGAGGTTAGTGATTCCACATTTGGATTCAAAACATTTATCACTTACTAGCTATGGGAGCTTCAGCAAGGCACTTTATCTCTCTTAACCTTATTTTTCTTATTTAAAAAGGAAAATGGTCATACTTATGTTAAAGGGTTTAGATGGGATTAGAAGAAAACATATTGATGTGATTAGCACAATACATGGCGTAAAGCAATATTTAGTAAATATTTAGTGAATGAAAGAACGAACAAATGAATGAACAAGCAAATTATTATAAGCATGAAGAGATTGGTAAGGTCCCAGAAACAAATTTTTCTTTTCAAAGATTTTATTTATTTGACAGACAGAGATCAGAAGTAGGCAGAGAGGCAGGCAGAGAGAGAGGAAGGGAAGCAGACTTCCTGCTTTGCAGAGAGCCTGACTCGGAGCTCAATCCCAGGACCCTGGGATTATGACCTGAACCGAAGGCAGAGGCTTTAACCCACTGAGCCACCCAGGTGCCCCAAAACAAAAAATTTTTAAAGAGCCAGGTAGAAGTGGGGCTCAGAAAAGACAGAGAAGAAACAGAGAGGAAGGAATTCTCCTAAGAACCCTGTCAAGTCAGTGTTACGATCTCCATCTTGCAGATGGGAAGCTGAGAAGTGGAAGAGCTGAGATGGCAGCTCTGGTCTAACAAACTCCCAAAGCCCATGCTCTTTGCGCTGTACGAGGCCCCCTTTCTCAACAGGGAGTCATTTGTTTTCTTGGCCAATGATATAAACTTTGTTGGGGCCTTGAGAGCTGACTCTCTGCACTGTGTTCCAGCTGAAGCACCATTGTGTGAGGAAGCCATCAGACCTGATCAACATCAATGTGAACGGCCTGAAGTTCTCCAAGGTAGGGCCAGCCAGCAGAGATGTGATTAGGATGAGCCAGACCTGAGGTGGCTCCTGGCTGTTTGTCCATTGTACCTTCAGAGTCCCTAGGGACTGGGGGGTTGGGGTAGGGGACGTCAGACAAAGCCTCACTGGGTAGAAACAACATTCAGACACAATAGTTTGCTGTAAATTTGGTATTACCATTGGCTCATGTGAGGTGAATTAAAGGAAGTAGCATTATGGGAGTTGGTTTGAATTTGTCATAGACCTCTGTTGGGGTGACACTGAGTTCCTGTTAGAAGAGCCTATAGGAGAAATTTCTCTCAAGTCTCAGTGCCAGGATGCTGGCTTCTTCTTATATATACTGTGGCTCATGTAATGAGTCATTTTTTTTCTTATATTGGCTAATTGGTAGCTTGAGCCACATTTGTGCCATCCCCCCATTAGCCAGTGTATATGCAGGATATTATGGCATATGTTTTTGGTTTATAGGCCTTCCATGGCATATGAAGAAAGATAAGTGGTATAAAATATACAGCAATTAAAATAGATAAATCAGTGCTGTAAGTAATATAACCATAAGTAAATCTCAAAAGATCTAGGTGTATCAACACAAGTAGATCTCAGAAGCATAGCGTTGAGTGAAAAAGGCGGGTTGCAGAATGACACAGTATGATTGCATCTAATATAGAGTTTTAGAACTTATAAATAATATTACATATAGTTCATAGATATACAAATATAGACTACAAGTATAAAACAAGTATGAGAATGATAGTCACCAGTTCAAGATAGCTGTGAATAGTTGGGAAATATTGTGGGGATGGGGGGCATGGTCAACTCTTTAGTATTTTATTTCTTTGAGGAATTGAAGGGAAGCCAGCAAAATCTTCGTATTTATTAAAGGTGGATAGTGGTTACATGGGTCTTCAGAGTTATCATTCACTAAATTTTTCTGTACATTGGGACTATTTTATAATAGAGAAAAAGAAGCAGAAAAGCTGTTCAGGCTCTCAGCAAGTGGGTGTTCTCTGCTAAGAATATAGCTTATCCCCGTAGGTGGTTGTGCCTTCTGACGGCAGCTCTGGAGCTTTGGCATCGTCCCCTTCGCAGGGGACTAATCTTGTGTTCTTTTGAAATGCTTTCCCACAGGCTAAGGAAAAGGACTTCAAGCATTTTAATTCAGTGATTTACATCAATGCCTCAGAAAACCTGCTTCCTCTAGGTAAGCTTTTTTTCCTGAAAACTACCTTCTGCATCTTAGCGAGCACCATCAGCCACTCCTGTTAGAACTTGCCTAATCAGTCAGTCATTCATGACTGGCTGCTCATCCCTTTTTTGGAGTGCCGTAGGCTGGGTGCTGGATATCACCCAGATCCGGATTTCAGCCCAGAGCTGGCACTACCTCCTTAGACTGTTTCTGTCTGGGCTGCTGCTTCACCGTCTGTAAATGGAGACAGTTCCCTTCCTTTCTTCCTCCCCAAGGCAGGATGCTGTGTAGGCTGAGATGAGATGGGTACATGAAATTGTTTTTAAGCCTGTACGAGTTCCTATGGGAGCATAGAGACTTCTTGTTTATTCAGCAAGTCCACAGCGACCCCTGCTGGGTGCCAGGACTATGTGAGTGCTTGGCTTTCAAAATGAATGCATCCAGTTTATAAGGTGAGCCTATAGTTTGGTGGGAAAGATGGGTTCAGACACAGATAATTATAGCAGAATATGGTAAGTGCAGTGATAGAGGGAATCAGAAAATGCTATGCAAGCATATAAACGGGGCACCAATCCAGACCAAAGTGTCAGAAGAAATTTCTGAGGAGAAGGGCAGCTAGCTGAGACGTAAAAAATGGACAGGAATGAGAAGGTATTTCAGTTCAGTGGAGCAGATGTGGGACAGCAGTGCCTGATAAGGATATGGAAGAGGCTCTGTATGTTTGCATGGGATGTGAATAGGGGGAAATGGAGACCAGAAAGGCTTGCAGGGACTGGAGTATCAAGGGCCCTGAGTTGTCACTAATCCTGCAGGCAAAAGAAAACCTTGGAAGGCTTTTAAATAAAGAATTTCAGTGGGGGCCGTGAGGAAGGTGAATAATAAAAGAAGAAGATGGGGACCAGGACACCTGGGAGGTGATTTCGTTTTTCTCAGGGGTAAGGTAGGGAAGCCTGAGTCAGGCAGTAGGGATAAGGGCAAGTGCAAGAGAGATTCAGAAGGAGGTAGAAATAACAGGATGTGATAGCTAATGGGCACATGGAAAGAAGAAAGAGCCAAGGTGGTTCACTGAGAATGGAGAGCACTAGAGGAGAGGCAAGTCTGGGGAGAAATAGGATGAGTTCAGTTTTTAGTGGTTGAGGTTGAGGGGCGTTTTTAAAGAAGCTTGTGACACAGCCCCTGCCCTTGAGGGAACAGTGCAGTCTGTCAGGAAGGTGGGCTTGAAATACAAAGGCCAGTAGGCATATGAAAAGATGCTCAACCCCAGTAATAATTAAAACAGCATCAAAATCCCATTTTTGCCTATCAAATATTGGCTAATATAAGAAGGACTGATTAATGACAGCATTGATGGGGAAATGGATACTCTCATTGAACCAGCAGAAGTACAATAAATTGATGCAACATCTTTGGAAGACAGTTTGGCAATGTCTCTTAAAATAGTCATTGCCTTTAATCTAGTAGTTTCCCTTCCAGGAATTTATTCTACAGAAACACACTCGTACAAGGACGTTCATTGGAAACATCCTAAAATACCTACAAAGCAGTCTTTTCCATGGGATCTACTGAACATTCTGACTCCCAAGACCACCATAGGCCCCACTTGACACCAGGGAGCTCTAAGTCATTCCACACAGTATACCTGCAGCACAGCACCTGCAGTTCCTCTTCAGTGGGGTCTCACAGCAGTGCCTACTGTAGCAGTCCGTGCAGCCATCCGTAGGCCATTCTCTGCAGCCCACTGCTCAGGTCCAAGACAGTAAGACTCTCATTTGGTGGATGTAGGAGCCATTCTGGCTTAGAAGCCTCATTACCCAAAGGAGCAAATAGCTATTGTAGCTCCATAGGCATAGCTCCTAGAGTTCCAGCAAAGGATGTGACTAATTATGGGATTCACCACACACAGGGAAATCCAGATTTCTGGTGCCCCTTCAGTTACTTCTAGTCCAGATGTGAGGTACCAGTCTGACATCATTTTACCATAATAATATTGTATAACTATGTTACCATACCATCTGTTTAGATTACCAGGGAAAAGGGCTAGAAAGTTAACCCAAAGACCAGTTCTCATGCAGAAGGGGAAAAGGGTTCTTGCTTTTTATCCAGATAACCCAAAGGCTATCAGAAGGTGAGTGGTTCACAGATGTGTAATCCTGGGGCTAATAATACATTATATGTTAATAAAAAATTAAAAATTTAAAAATAGGGGAATGGTTAAGCAAATTAGGGTACATCTATAATATAGAACATAACTCAGACATTTTGCAGATCTATATGTTTTGACATGGAACAAGCTTTTTTTTTTTTTTTTTAGATTTATTTATTAGAGAGAGACAGAAAACACAGGGCGGAAGTGGGGAAGAACAGAGGGAGACAGAAACTAAAGCAGACTCTGCACTGAGTGTGGAGCCTGATGCAGAGCTTGGCACAGGGCTCAAAGTGGAGCTCAACATGGGGCTCAGTCTCACAACCCTAAGATCACAACCTGAGCTGAAAGCAAGAGTTGGACACTTTAACCAACTGTGCCACCCAGACACTCTGGCATGGAACAATCTTTAAGTCATATTGTTAAGGGAGAAAGGCAAATCAGAGTACAATGTGTATGGTATGATTCCATTTGTGTAAAAAGGTGTGTGTGTGTGTGTGTGTGTGTGTGTGTGTTTCACTGTACACATGAGAAAAATTCTGGAGTATTATATATGAAACTTTCAATGGTTATCTCTGGGCGTTGAGATTAAAGGGAACTTTTTCTATATTTTTTAACTTTTTTTGGTAGACATGTTTTACTTTTATAGTAAGAAATAATTTTATAATAAGAAATAATTTTTAAATGGGCTTTGGAGTTAGACATAGACTCAATTCTTGACCCTTTCACTTCCCAGCAATTCCATTTATAGCAAATCACTTAGCTTAGACGAGCTACAATTTCCTCAGCAGTAGAATGAGAATAGTAACCCTTATTTCAGGGGTGGTAGAGATTTAGAGGCCCTGTGTATAAGGCACCTGATCATAAGCTTAGTCAGTGGGAACCCAGTAAACAACCACTGTTAACAGCTTTCTCTTACCTCCTTTACAAGTAGCTAATTCTCTTTCTCCTCTCCCTGTAGAGGCATTTCATACATTTCCAACCTTAAAGGAACTGGAGCTTGCATTTAATGGAATCAAAACAGTCTACGTGAAATACGGAGACTTTAAGTTCTTGGAAGTAAGTTGGAGGTAGGGAGTTTTTGGTGCCCACCTGTTTCTTTATAAAGAATGGGTATAAATGTCCCTACTGATTATATCTGTTGGGAAGGAGCTCTCTGGGCCTTTATAGCCAGACTGTTGCTTCACAGCAGTCCTCTGCAGAGGGTGGTGGGGTTGGTGGTGATCATGAGGGTAGTGGTAGTGGCAGCAGTGGCAAATAGGTGAGACTATATCATACCTGTGGCCATTGTGTGTGGTCCTGGAAAATAAATGCCAAACTTCATGCCAAAGGGGTCTGTGCAGAAAATTGAGTTTAAACAGAATAGGAAGAGTTTGAGGGGAGATCTGGATCCAGTGGGGGTTATGGAGCCTTAGAGGTTAAGTGCTTGGCACAGATCAGACCAGCTGAACTAGAGGCATTATGGACTAATGCCAGAGAACCATCCTGGTCCAAATGAGCCAGATTGGCTCCAGTGGGCTCAGGTAAAGGAGGCTAAAGGTCTAGTCTGTAGGCCAAGAGATGACTGTGAGATTAAACGGGACTCCTATAAGTTCCGTAGCACACTCTTTTTTTTTTTAATGTATTTATTTTTATTAATTATTTTTATTAACTATAATGTATTACTTGTCCCAGGGGTACAGGTCTGTGAATCGTCAGGCTTACACACTTCACAGCACTCACCATATCACATACCCTCCCCAATGTACATAACCCAACCACCCTCTCCCTACTCCCCTCCCCCTGGCAGCCCTCAGTCTGTTTTGTGATAATAAGAGTCTCTTATGGTTTGTCTCCCTCCCGATCCCATCTTGTTTCATTTTTTCCTTTCCTACCCCCAGACCCCCCACTCTGCCTCTCAAATTCCTTATATCAGGAAGATCATATGGTAATTGTCTTTCTCTGATTGACTTATTTCACTCAGCATAATACCCTCTAGTTCCATCCATGTCATTGCAAATGGCAAGATTTCATTTCTTTTGATGGCTGCATAGTATTCCGTTGTGTATATATACCACATCTTCTTTATCCATTCATCTGTTGATGGACATCTAAGCTATTTCTGTAGTTTGGCTATTGTGGACATTGCTGCTATAAACATTCAGGTGCATGTGCCCCTTCAGATCACTACATTTGTATCTTTAGGGTAAACACCCAGTAGTGCGATTGCTGAGTCATACAGTATCTCTGTTTTCAACTTTTTGAGGAACCGCCATGCTGTTTTCCAGAGTGGCTGCATCAGCTTGTATTCCCACCAACAGTGTTTCCTGACTTGTTAATTTTAGCCATTTTGACTGGTGTGAGGTGGTATCTCATTGTGGTTTTGATTTGTATTTCCCTGATGCCGAGTCATGTGGAGCACTTTTTCATGTGCCTGTTGGCCATCTGGATATCTTCTTTGCAGAAATGTCTGTTCATGTCCTCTGCCCATTTCTTAATTGGACTATTTGTTCTTTGGGTGTTGAGATTGATAAGTTCTTTATAGATTTTTGGATACTAGCCCTTTATCTGATATGTCATTTGCAAATATCTTCTCCCATTCTGTCGGTTGTCTTTGGTTTTGTTGACTGTTTCTTTTGCTGTGCAAAAGCTTTTGATCTTGATGAAGTCCCAGTAGTTCATTTTTGCCCTTGCTTCCCTTGCTTTTGGCGATATTTCTACGAAGAAGTGGCTGTGGCTAAGGTCAAAGAGGTTGCTGCCTGTTTTCTCAAGGATTTTGATGGATTCCTGTCTCACATGGAGATCTTTCATCCACTTTGAGTCTATTTTTGTGTGTGATGTAAGGAAATGGTCCAGTTTCATTCTTCTGCATGTGGCTGTCCAATTTTCCCAACAACATTTGCTGAAGAGACTGTCTTTTTTCCATTGGACATTCTTTCTTGCTTTGTCGAAGATTAGTTGGCCATAGAGTTGAGTGTCCATTTCTGGGCTCTCTGTTCTGTTCCATTGATCTATGTGTCTGTTTTTGTGCCAGTACCATGCTGTCTTGATGGTGACAGCTTTGTAATAGAGCTTGAAGCCTAGAATTGTGATGCCACCAACTTTGGCTTCCTTTTTCAACATTCCTCTGGCTATTCGGGGTCTTTTCTAGTTCCCATATAAATTTTAGTATTATTTATTCCATTTCTTTGAAAAAAATTGATGACATTTTGATAGGGATTGCATTAAATGTGTTGATTGCTCTAGGTAGCACAGACATTTTCACAGTATTTGTTCTTCCAATCCATGAGCATGGAACATTTTTCCATTTCTTTGTGTCTTCCTCAATTTCTTTCATGAGTACTCCAAAATTTTCTGAGTACAGATTCTTTGCCTCTTTGGTTAGGTCTCTTCCTAGGTATTTTGTGGGTTTGGGTGCAATTGTAAATGGGATTGACTCCTTAATTTCTCTTTCTTCTGTCTTGCTGTTGGTGTATAGAAACGCATGCAACTGATTTCTCTGCATTGATTTTATAACCTGACACTTTACTGAATTCCTGTATGAGTTCTAGCATTTTTTGGAGTGGAGTCTTTTGGGTTTTCCACATAAAGAATCATATCATCTGCAAAAGAGTGAGAGTTTGACTACTTCTTTGCTGATTCGGATGCCTTTTATTTCTTTTTATTGTCTGATTGCTGCGGCCAGGACTTCTAGTACTATGTTGAATAGCCATGGTGATAGTGGACATCCCTGCCGTGTTCCTGACCTTACAGGAAAAGCTCTCAGTTTTTCCCCATTGAGAATGATATTTGCTGTGGGTTTTTCATAGGTAGCTTTGATGATATTGAGGTATATACCTTCTATCCCTACACTTTGAGGAGTTTTGATCAAGAAAGGATGCTGTACTTTGTCAAATGCTTTTTCAGCATCTATTGAGAGTATCATGTGTTTTTGTTCTTTCTTTTATTAATGTATTGTATCACACTGATTGATTTGCAGAAGTTGAACCAACCTTGCAGCCCAGGAATAAATCCCAATTGGTCGAGGTGAATAATCCTTTTAATGTACTGTTGGATCCTATTGGCTAGTATCTTGGTGAGAATTTTTGCATCTGTGTTCATCAAGGATATTGGTCTGTAATTCTCTTTTTTGGTGGGATCTTTGTCTGGTTTTAGGATCAAGGTAATGCTGGCCTCATAAAATGAGTTTGGAAGTTTTCCTTCCATTTCTATTTTTTGGAACAGTTTCAGGAGAATAGAGATTAATTCTCCTTTAAATGCTTGGTAGAATTCCCCTGGGAAGCCATCTGGCCCTGGGCTGGCTTGTTGGGAGATTTTTTGATGACTGCTTCAATTTCCTTATTGGTTATGGGTCTATTCAGGTTTTCTCTTTCTTCCTGATTCAAGTTAGGTAGTTTATACGCTTTTAGGAATGCATCCATTTCTTCCAGACTGTCACATTTGCTGGCGTATAGTTGTGTAGCACACTCTTGACATTTGTACATCCATAGCTGCTCTTTCCCACGTGTTGACCTTATAGTACAAGTGTTTTATATTCAGATCTCAGCAGAATGTCTGTGCGTCATAAGCCTTGGCGTTGACCCAAAGAGTTGATAACTTAAATTATTTAATCTGCCAGCATCAAGAGTCAGCCACTCTTCACAAAAGCCTCACTTAACTTAGTCTTGCCAGAAAAAGAGAGAGAGTTCTTCCACAAGAGTGAATATTTCAGACTTGATGGCCTTTGTATGCCAGAGTTTTTAAAAGCTTTAATTGCTTAGGACGGCAGTCTTCTTAAATGGGTTATTTGTCCTTTTGTTCTTGAAACATGCTATACTGGATGTAATGGTATCTTCTCTCCATGGTTTCAAGTCATATTGAGGATGGAGTGATTTACTATGATTTGGAACAGGAGTTGTCCTCGGACTTGTCCAGGAAGCAGAGCTCTTGAAAGTCCAATGAAACAGAGAGTGTAAATTGACAACAACTGGTAATTTTTTGCTATGTTAAAAATAAAATTGAATACTAGATTTTAGTATAAACAGTGGGAAACAGATTCCAGATGCTAGAGAGAGAGGTAGCCATTTCCTTTAACGACAGGCTTGGGAGCTTCTTATGAACTTCCACTTTTTTGTTATTTTACTTTAAGAAGTAGTCATTGTGTGTGTCATACATTGTCATGCATTGTGCCAGGCATCTTGTTTTCCTCTCCCCTACTATTTCAAATCCCTAATTCAAGTGCCCGTGGGCCCTGGGGAGGGAACATGACTGTAGGCTCGGATCCCACAGCTGACTAGCTTGGGACTACTGATTGATCATGATTGACTAGATGCCCTATTTCTTAGTTTGATAGCTTCTGATAAAGATTATTTATCTGGCAGACCCAGCCTTACCCAAGGGAATTTATTTACATAAGAGAGCAGACCAAAGTCAAGATGCCGAATGTAAATGAGAAGATGAAATCTCTTGGCTAATCATTTATTTCTATCTCTGTGTTTTATAAGGTCTCTCTAAGAAAAAACATAAAACGGTCAAAATTCCTGAATTTGCAGTTCACAATAATGAATACTTTGATGTATAATAAAACTTGATGTGACTCAGCAGATAGAGTAGGTTAGGAATCTTCTGTTCTTGTTTGCCAGAAAGGCTGCCACCCGAGGAGTAGAATTCTTCAGCAGTCAATTTAGAAAAACTTAACTTTGCCATGATTTGATTTTCTGCATACCGGTCTGAAAAAGTCTCAGCTGGAGCCTGGCCCTGAAAGTCAGGAGACTTTGTTTCTTGTCTTGGTTCTGCCACTATTTTGACATAGCTCCTTGGCCAAATCACTTCCCTTCTCTGAGACTTAAGTATCCCCCTCTGTAAATTTTGGGTCAGCTGTAAAGTTATGTGACCTGTGATTCTAAAACTATTCATTTCTTTGAGCTGCCCTTTATTCTGTGGAGAGCAGATTTGGCCCCAACATTAAGTAACCAAATCAGCGAGGACAGGGGTCAGTAAACTTATTCTATAAAGTGAATATTTTAAGCTTTGTTGTCTATATGGTTATAACTAGTCACAACTGTCATAACTAGACAAGTCTGCTGTTAGAGAAGGAAAGGAGCCATAGATACCACATAAAAAAATGAGTGTGGCTGTGTTTCAACAAAACTTTATGATGCTGAAATTTGAATTTCACATAATTTTCACACAGTAGTCTTCATTTGATCTTTTTTCAACCATTTAAAAGTGTAAAAATTATTCTTAGCCCACAGGCCTTACAAAAGAGGCAACAAGATGGAAATGGCTGAGAGGTGTTAGTTTACCCACTCCTGAGCAAGCACACTGATGAAACAGCTCAGTGTGACTGGAATGGAAAGTGAGACACAGTGGAGTAGTGATAGGTGAGCCTGGAGAGGTAGCAGAAGAGAGACTGTGGGAAGCCTTGGAAGCCTCACTAAGGAGTTTGAAATATCCAGTGGGTGTTAGGTATGGCTGCTGACATGAAGCATGAGTTGGAGGGAACAGTGTGAGAGATATTGAGACAAAATCCATAGGTCTCATTGACTGAGGGAGAGGATTTTCCCACCTTTACCTATGATTATCTGAGCCCCCTTTCCAGGTCTTCCTCCTTAAAGTCTTCTATCTTTGCCCCTGCCAAATAGAATCACGCGTTAGTGTGAACTCTCAAAATTTGGAATTTGCTGATGGCAGCATGAACTCATCACTCCACTGGTGTTTGGCACCTTTCACAGTCTGCCCAGTCTTCTCAAACCCTCTTATACCATGGACTCTAGTCATACCCAAACTATTTGCAGTCCTTAGAACAAAGTACGCTACCTCCTGTCTCCGGCTGCAGTGTTTGTTTTTTTGCCTTTAACAATTTGGTGAATACCGACTAGTCTCTGAGGACAGCTCTAGCGTCACGTGATCTGTGAAGTCTCCTGGATCCTCTGGTAGAGCTGACTGTTCCTTTCTTTGTGCTTCCACTGGTCTGTGTTCAGACCTCTATCTCAGCAGCATTGCTACTTAGTAGACACATATGTTTATCTACCTGACCAGCTAGGTTGTGAGCTAGCAGAGGATAGGCTGGTACAGAGTAAGCCTTCAGCATATGGTCCTTAAATGAAGAGATGGTTATAATGATGACAGCCAACATTAACTATACTTACTATGTAGCAAACTCATGCTAAGGGTTTTATCTACACAGTTTTTCATAAGAATTCATTATTATTTCTATTTTATAGAAGCTCAGGTTAGGTAATTTGCCCAAATCCCAAATTTGGCCAGTATTTAAACTCAGGTCTACGGAATCCATCAATTGATTACTACAGTGGAGTCAGACCAAATCCAGTCCTCTGGTAGTGGCCTACAGCCACTTGTTTATATGTCTGATTAACTGTGTAACACTGATGTGGTCAACCAGCTGGGTAAGATGCTGAAATGCCTCTATTCAGTAGGCTTCAATGAGTATGTGTGGAGAAAGAGGGAGGAAAGAAAGCAGACTTACACATGAGAGCTTAAGTGAGTGTGTAGAGGCCCAAAAGAGAAAGAACAAACATTGGGTTGATAACATTTATCACAATTGTCTCTGTCTTTGCAGACAGAAACTCAGTTTCCTGACTGGACCCTGACCTAGTCAAATATTTCCTGAATCTAGGTGGCCAGTTAGAAAGTGGTTGATAGTGACAGTTTGGATTATTGCTCTCATAAGCCAGTTCATTTCAGCTGATTTTTTATATGCACCTACTATGTACCAGGTCATATCTAAGTTACCAGGATATAGTGATACAGTAACATGGCTATTGACCAGGAAGTTTATGGTCTAGCCTACCATCATGTGCCAAGGTTATGCTAGGCACATCCATGTACCAACATCCCTGTTCCTCAGATGTGTATCTCCCTATCAGGTACCTGGTTGACCATGAGAAGTATCCCTAGATAAAGCGCTCAAATTCAGGGGAGAGAGAGATTCCAATTGGCTGGAAAATTAAGAGAAGTTTTATAAGGAGGCAACTTTTGAGTTGGCCTTCTGGGGCTTAAATTCAGATACATGGAGAGTGAAAAGCTCTCCAGGTTGAGTGAAAAGCTCAAGCAAACACCTCTAGGTGGGGTGGTGCAGGAAATAGGGAAGGAGTCACTTTGGTTGGCACCACAGGATAAATCAGGATTTGTAGTGGGATCTAAAGCTAGCAAATAGGCTGGGAATGGACTATAGTAGGCCTTGAATGTTAATCCAGAGAGTCAAGAAGGTTTGAGGCTTATGAGTGATGGGGTTGCCTAGAAAGTTAAAAAAAAATGGTGAGCCCCCACCTCATGTATGAGCATCATTGTCATGTGTAGTACTTCTGTTCTCCCATCTTTTTTCTTTGTACCATAGTTCCTGGACCTTTCCTTCAACAGCCTGACTGCAGAGGCCATTTGTGATCTGGGGATTCTCCCGCACCTCCGTGTCCTGCTCCTCACAGGCAATGGGCTCACCTCCCTGCCACCCAATTTGGCTGTCACAGAACAGTAAGTTCTACATCCTAGGGTCGGTCCCATGTGTTCCCTCGTGAACCTTTGGGTGCAAATGTGCAAGGTAATAGCCTAGAGCAGCTCAAAAGTGCTATAAAGACGGCTGTGAGTGCTCAGAGCAGGGAAAAATGCTGCCTACCGAAGCTCCTAGGAAAGGCAGTCATGGGAATGGGGCCCCAAAGAATGATTAAGCCTCAGATGGGTGTCTTCATACTCTCCTATGCTGTTAGGAGACCCTCAGGTATCTAGCAAGTCACTTTCCCTGTCTCTGATTGGTCATTGGTAAATTGTGGATATTGCTTTTGCCAGACTTATCCCTTCACAGACCTACTGAGCTTTGTATGTTCCCATTCTGCACCTTGGTTCAGGCTGTGCTTTCTGACCATAATATAATAATGGTCAATGCAATATACATCATAATGCTAATGCTAATGCAATATACATGTGCTTACTATGTGCCAGACATTGTTCTCAGCATGTTATACATGTTAACACATTTAATCCTCAAAACTGCCCTATGAAGCAGGTGTCCTGTTATTATCTGTGTTTTATAGATGAGGAATTTGAGGCACAGCTATGTTAAGTAACTGCTGATAAGTGACTGAGCCAGAATTTAATGAAGTCCATCTGATCCAAAGACCATGCTTATGACCATTACATTCTCTTCTCATATGGATTTTGTATATATTCCAAAGGCCTGCTCAGACCCTCCTCCTCTCCCTATCAGAAGCCTTCCCTGACGGCTTTAGACCATACTTCTTCCCTTCTCTAAGCATCTGTTGAATTTAATGTTTTCCCTCTTACTTTAGAAGTTTATATATTCTCTTGTGACTTATGTCTCACAAATAGGTATATATTTGTAAATAATAGATAAATGGGTGAAATACATAAAGTCTCCCAAAAATATTGTGAGCACTATGAGGGCAGAGGCTCTGTCTTAGTCATCTTTGATCTGAAGCAGCTGAATGAGGAGTCAGTACTTTGGCACAAGTACCTATTCAATGGATGTTAACCAGTTTAGAGATGGTGTAGGCAAAAGTCATGGTGATAATATTTGTTGTGATGATGGCAGATGTGATGGAGTTTATAGTGATGATAGTGATTGGTTAGTTACCCAAGAAGTTTGGATAATAGTAGTGATCATTGTATTAGGGATTTCATTAGGCTCCTTTTGTTTGCAAGTGACAGAAGTCAACTCAAACTAGCTCAACCAAAAAGGGAATTTATGGGGCGCCTGGGTGGCTTAGTTGGTTGAGCATCCAACTCTTGGTTTTGGCTCAGGTCATTGTCTTGGGGTCATGGGATCAAACTCACATTGGGGTCTGCACTCAGTTGGGAATCTGCTTGAGGATTTGCTTCCTCTCCCTCTGCTTCTCCCCTGATTTGCATGTGTGTACTCTCTCTAAAATAAATAAATAAAATTTTTCCCCCCAAAAACCCCAATAAAACCAAAAGGGAATTTTTGGCTCATTTACCTGTAAAGTCCTAAGGTGAATGCTGGATTCACACATGGCTGTATACAGGTGAACAGCATGTTGTCAGGACTTTGCATGCATCTCAGTGTCTTTCTTCATCATGTGTGTAACTTCTCTCTCATCTTTCTCTCACTTACTTTCTCAGGCACATGCACACATCTTTTTTTTTCCCTTGGTGTTGGCAGGCTTTCTCTATGACCAGACACACATCAGTCAGGGTCAAGTCAAGAATATGAAAACCACTTGAGGTATTGCAAATTGAGGGGACTTAAATGTTTGTCATGGGGAGAGATAATAGTTGGCATTTTATTATGAAAATTTCAGACACACATAGAAGTAGAGTCAATGGCAAAATGAACTTCCATGTACCCATCACCTAATGATTATTGCCTGACAGTTCTGAGGTCACAGACAATCCTGTTTAATCTATACCCCCACCATACCCAAACTTTTTTTTTTTTTTGAGCTTTTATTTATTTATTTGACACAGTGAGCAAGAGCATACAAGCAGGGGAGCACCCAAGGAAGAGGGAGAAGCTCCCCCTGAGCAGGGAGCCCAACATGGGGCTCAATCCCAGGACCCTGGAATCCTGATCTGAGCCAAAGGCAGACACTTACCCAACTGAGCCATTCAGGCACCCCACCTTAAATTATTCTTAAGAAAAATCTCAGACGTATCTAGCTATAAATGAATACTACAGATTCGTGTAGTTTCATCTGTAATAATCCAGTGTATACCTCTAAAAGAGAAGGACTCTTGAAAAAAATCATAATTAGAGTACCTTTATTCCACCTAAATATTAGCAACAATAAATAGAGGGAATTGGTTATATAGGTGGTGGAATGGCTGGAAGAGCAAGAAGGAAAACGGTTGATGCCCAGAGATCAGATGCCCCCCAACTCCTGGACTTCAGGCCACAAGCCTGTCCCTGCTGCTGGGCTTTTAGAGAGGTTGTTGCCGCAGTTCTAGATCTGCTGCAGATGTGCTGCCCCCGTCAGGGTTGGAACCTCACCAGCAGGGATGCCGGTGCAGCCCTGCTGCTGCCAGCAAGCTGTCAGAAACAAATGAGAGAGTTGCTTCTCCCCGTCTTCTGGCCTTCCAGTCTCACCAATCCCTCCCTTGGCAGTATCTCACTGGAAGCCAATTGGAAAGATGGTCTGGGAAGTGTAGGTTAGGGGTGACCCTGGCCCCTTATAATACATAGCAGAACACAAAGGAAAGGAATAAAGTTCAAGAATAAAGTTCAAAAGGAATAAAGTGCAAGAGCAAATAGGCAGATGACTAGTGCCAACCAGCCCTTGGAAGCCCAACATCTACTCTCTTCCTTCTCTCCGTATTTAATTTCCTTACCACACTAGCAATCACAATATGCTTTCATCTTAAGTGAAGGATCTTTTCCTTTTCCATGAAGATACTTTCACCCTCTTCTATAAAGGGATATGAGACCGTTCCATAGGTCACTGTATCCATTTCTGAATGATATAATTTTCTCTTCTAAAGTAGTCACAGTGCCAAGTAGATATTTTATAACCTAAAAACTAAGTTGCAAAGTCATTCACCATTAGTAATTTACACACAACAAGCAGAGAAGAAAATATATGTATTTTCTACAATAATCTTTTCTTAACTGGTCCAGAGGCCATAGTACACATTTATGAATCCTTCCTTCATCTCCTATTTAATGTTTCCTTCTCCCTTATCTAGCACCTTGGCAGTTTGGGCTCTTTAACTGGCAGGATATCCTAAATGATCATTCCTGAAGGATCAGAGTTATGAATCCTTTTTTAATAGATTGTGGTAGTTTTCTATTAATGCTTTTTAAAATTGTGGTAACATAACACATAACATAAAATTTACTATCTTAACCATTAAAATTTTTTTTTAAATAATCTCTATACCCAACATGGGGCTCAAAATCATGACCCTGAGATCAAGAGTCAGGTGTTCTACTGACTGAGCCAGCCAGGCAGCCCGTCTTAACCATTTTTAAATGTACAGTGGCATTCACGTAAGTCCCTTCACATTGTTGTTGTACCATCACCACCATCCATCTTCAGAACTCTTTTCATCTTGCAGAAATTCCATTAACTTTGATTAATGGACATGACACTTCTAAGAGGAATACCTTATAACTCCCTGGATTCCAGTCATATTTCTCTTTGTCCTCAAGGTATAACAGCAATCATACCTACTTTTGATAATCAGTATCAATCACCCAGCCAATATAGTAAGCTCCTTTTTTTTGTCTATTTGTTTGGTGGATTGAGGAACCCAAGTGGCCAGTAGCAATCTCAAGTTCTAGTTAAGAGAAACTATTCTTTGTGTCCTCTATAAAAGTATTCCTCCCTAGGCAACTAAGACCTCTACTTGTAGGAATGGAGGCAAAAATTCTGCAAGTGGATGGTTGTAAGAGGATCTGTTCTTATTTCCTTTCATTAATTCCTAGATCCTATGTTCCCTTATGAGGAAAACAGCATCAGTACTGGTTGCTGGTTTATGTGAAACCTTATCTTTTTAGTAGTCAGAGCCCTGTCTTCACAGGGGTTAGTCTCCTAACTGGTACAATAAATAAGTTGTTAAAAAACTACTCTACCTTTCTATTAGATCAGCTGCTTCTGATGGGGAACATGGTAAAAAAGTGAATTCCATGTTTATGGGCTCATCATTGCACTTATGTGCTATCAGATGTGTTCCATGGTTAGAAGCAATGTTATGTGAGGTACCAGGATAAAGAATATGATATTCTGTAAGTCCCCTGATGCTGATGCTGGCAGAATCTCAGGGAATGTAAATCTGTATCCAAAACACATGTTTATTCTGGTAAGCAACAAAACAAAACACTGCTCCTCTTATGAAGGAAGGTGCTTATTATAGTCATCCTCCCACAAGGTGGTTGGCTAATCCTTGCAGAAATGGTGCCATGTTAGGGGCTCAACATTGGCTTCTGCTCTTGGCAGTTTGGGTACTCAGCAGGGATGGTAGCCAGATCTCCTTGGTGAGGGGATGTGTGTAGCCTCCATGCCTGTGCTAAAGGCCATTTTTCAAGCACTAGGGTATCTGAGGAGAGAGGCCATCTGACTTCATGGAATGGGTCATCTTGTCCACCTAGTCACTGAGAGTCTCCTCTAAAGTGGATAGCCTTTGGGAAGCATTCACATGGGATGCAAATAATGCTTATACTCTATCCATTCTGAGAGGTCCATTCACATAATTTCCCCTTAGACCTTGCTCTCAGCGGTTTTACTTTTTTTTTTTTTTTTTTCCCAAGCTTGGACTATTCTGCTAAACCATTAGCCACTGCCCGTGAATCAGCGAAAACCAAAAAAAATAGATAGATACATTGCTCTAAGTTTTACCTATTGGGAGGATTTTTCTTCCCTTGTCTTTCAGAGTCACCCCTGTATAAAGTTGTAATACTGTAAGTCTTTTAGTGTCAGCATATCATGAACAATCATTTGTAAACCCAGCTAGGGGGTTTTCTCCTACATCAGCTGCTCACAGAACCTTAGTTGTGCTTTGAT